TAAATCTGGACTCATCAGACCACATGACCTTCTTCCATTGCTCCAGAGTCCCATCTTTATGCTCCCTAGCAAACTGAAGCCTTTTTTTCCCGGTTTGCCTCACTGATTAGTGGTTTTCTTACGGCTAAACAGCTGTTCAGTCCCAATCCTTCATATCCTACTGTCCTACTGTTGTTTTTCTTCAATTTGATTTCACCAAACATTTAAGTGATTGTCGATCATGATCATTCAGGATTTTGTTCTGGCCACATTTCTTCCTCCAAGACGATGAGTCCCCACTATCCTTCACTTTTTAATAATGTTTTGGACAGTTCTTTCTCCTCAGACGTTTCCTCTGCTTGATGGATCCCAGTGATTTGACCCTTCTCAAACACACATCTTTTCCAGGACCACGTGATGTCTCTTGACATGGTTGTTTATGAAATGAGAAGCAACTCATTGCACCAGTTGGGGTTAAATAACTTGTTGCCAATGCAGTAATTGTCAGACAGGTGGCGACTTTTTTTTGGCCAGGCAGTGTATAATGTTCAGGGTCATTTTTAAATGCATCGGGTCCCTCGAAATGCTCTTTGTTTCCATAAAGGTCCCAAAGAGATCTGTTCCCAAATTAGTACAGCATGTCAGTACTTGATCTGTCTTAAAATGTGATGTCTGAGAGCAGCTCTCTGTGCAGTCTTCATCAGCAATCTCTCTCCATGCTGACCAACACCATGTGGTCAGATCAAAAGCAGCATGTATTCCTATATTCTGACAGTAATCAGAATCAGCAGTGAGTTTGGAAAATCTTGCCAAGAAAACCAGTGTTCAGGTAATTGACTGCAGGTAAGCAAAGTGATGACTGGACGAGGAGAACAGGAGGTAGCTGACAGACTAGCAAAGAACTGAAGCAGCTCTGGTCTTTAAGTACAGGCTCACTGGAGCCATCGATGGAGGGCAGACCCAGGCAAGCACCAGCAAACAGGAAAAACCTGACCCAGTGTGACGCACACTCTAGATGCAAGAAGCCCAGCGAAACGGACATAAAGTCTCTCTCTCCCGTCCCCCATATCCAGCACGTAAACCAAAAATAGAGCAAAAACACCTTCAAGCCATTTATTGTAGACATGGGAGCAGTGTTTTTGAGGTAGATTATCTGAGTTTGTGTTGAAGCTTAGTTCTATTTTGTGTGCCATTTTGGCCTCGGCACAGCCTGACAATTTAACAATTTGCTGAATAATATATACAACAGTGCTTTTTAAAGAAACGTTGTTTCTGTGGCTGCTTGGGGAAGTGAACGCCTGTCGCGTGTGTTGTACCAGCCCGCTGGATGGGAAACAGCGTCCTGCTAATGTAAGAGAGGCAGCTCTTAATTTATGCCCTAGTTTAGGTTGTATGTATACCTTTTCTTGTCAATACTGTACTTGTGATTTATTCATTTATTTTGCATTTACAAAAAATAATTTGTTTAAAAATATTATTTTAATATGGCAACGAAATGGTTGGTTTTGTTTTTAAACAGATTTTTAAATGAGCAGTTCATTTTCTTTTTTGAACATGTATCATTTATTTTATGAAGCGCCTTGAGGCGACTTTTGTTGTGATTTGGCGCTATATAAATAAAATTGAATTGAATTGTATTATTGTAATTCATAAGACCAAAGTGTCCTAGCAGATTAATCGATGGAATCATTGACAGAATACAGAAAAAAATGA